ATAGGAAGTGTTGGATTTTCAGTTAACATTTACTACTGCATTATATTATGCACTGCTCTTTATACAGTGCTCAGAAGTTATGTTTTAATTCATGATAAAACTCTGAAACTGCAAAGAATATTAAAAAAAAAAGGCTTTGGGGAAATCTCTGAATTTTCCTAGTCTGGCCTCACGGTTATTAGAAAAGGACTTTTCACTCAGATAATTTGTTTGTTCACAGGAAATATCTTTTAACTAAGCCTGCACACATCGAATCTGAGGACAGTGGGGTTTGCCAGTTGTATGTGTTGAAAGAGGAGCCACCTAGCTCAGGCTTTGGAGTCACACAAGGTAAACACTGTGTTCTGTGTGTGCAGGGCTGTCCGGGTGCACGCCGGAGTTACGTCAACGTATGTTAACTTTATACTAAAACTGAAAACTTAGGCACTGCACTGGAAATAGTAAGTAAGAATCTTCCATCTTTCAAGTTCTGTCTTTGAATGTTTTTAACTGACAGGACAGAGTTTTTGTATGTACATGGGTTCCAAGTCTACTTTAGGATTTAATCATTTCTTTTTTTACACAGACCATCAGGATTTCTACTTTATTCATCACAGTTTTGGGGCATGAAAAGTACTTATGAGAAAAAAAATCTAAAATATACCATCACTAACACTGAGTTGGGTCCATTTCACATCTTTCTGCAGAGTGCTGTTAATATTAATCCTGATGCTAATACAAATTTGAATTCCATGTATCCTTGAAATCACTCTGAGAAGATGCCATGATGGTGAAAACTGAGTTTTCTCACACGAAAGGCCATGAGTGCCATGGAAAACGTTTTCTCTTTTTTCACTTGTGCTTTTCTGTTTGAGTTGGTGAGAGTGAAATCTTGCAAAAATTAATTCCTGAAGCATTTTAGGGCCATATGGTGTTTAATGTTTCCCTGACACTTTTCAGAAACAGACTCCAGCATACCTCATAAAATTTCAAGTGATCAGCTATCATCTGAAAAGCTAAGTTCAGCTGTGGGACAAAAGATTGCATCTCCTAACCGAGTTCTCTCAGATGAGAATAGTTACGCTACAATTGTTGTTGGGTTCCCAGATCTCCTGGTAAGCATACATTTTTTAAATTATTAAATAATTATTTTCCTCCTCAATTTGGCATATAATCCGTAAGCCTATTTGATGGGTAATTAAAAATGTAATATTTTCTGGTAAACATTTCAGACCAACATTCTGTTCTCCAGATCAGTCATTAAAAAATGCAATCTATATGATTTCATTGCTTTTTAAAAATTGACATTTAAAGTGCAGTGCAATTATATAGTTTTGTAAAATAAACCAGGATTCTCCATTCATGAGTGTTCATGTGACAGTCAAATATTTAACCTGCTGACAGTAATTTCGTATCATGTTGTCTTCATGTGTGCTCATGTAATCTGTCAAGAGGAACAATGTGAGGCTAAAAAAATAACACGTCTTCTAGAATTTTTTAAAGTGAAATATGTTGGAGTCTCATTACTGTGGATTAAATTTTTCAATGCCTATGAACATCAATTCACTTTCTGTTGGGTTTTTTTTGTTGTTGTTGGGGAAGGGGAAGTAATTAGGTGTATTTATTTATTTTTAGTGGAGGTCCTGGGATTGAACCCAAGACCTCGTGCATACTGAGTATGCACTCTACCACTTGAGCTATGCCCTGCCCCTCTTTTATTGGGTTTTGCTCTGCTTTGCAGCATCCAGATTATACTATAAATGCTGATGGTCTCAATCTAATTTGCTTTTAAATGGATTCTTCTGCTGTAATTTACTGTTGTTTATAAAGAAGAGGCTATTTGCAATTGAAGTGAATTTAGGTGAAAACAGGCATGGCTTTCCCCTGATGGAAATGTGAGAAAATGAAATACAAAGGTTATTTCAGTCCAAGTTGCCATCTAATAACCTCAGATGTAGCTCCGTGTGTTCTGATTAAACATTTAATTTTCATAATTTCCTTTGTAGCTTTTAGCTGGGATGATAGAATCATTTAAAGATAAAAATATTGGCTCTGCTTAATAGTACACCAATCTCACATACTTCAAAATTTTAATGTAGTTAATGAATGATGAGTACTTCAGGGTATAAGACTTTTGAAATCCAAAACCCAGCGGATAATATGTGGCTTAGGACTTTGCCATGTGTCTTCCTAATTATCAAGTAAAAAGCATTTGCTACAGTATTATATAACTGAAAATGAAACATGTTATTGGAATACAGTTTCTGCCGCAGCCTTGATGAAAGAGTTGTGTTTAATATGCTTTCTACAATGCTTGCTGCTAACAGTAGAAAAAATACTTCAGCTACTTTTCTGGAGGGAGAACTATTCTCAAAATTCATGTTTTGATTGAAGAAATTAGTATAGAAATATAAATGTTACCATAAAAAGGCAAGAAACTATACAAACTACTATATACAGATTAGATAAACAACAAGATCCTGCTATATAGCACAGGGAACTATGCTCAACAACTTGTCATAATCTATAATGAAAAAGAATATGAAAAAGAATATATATATATAACTGAGTCACTATGCTGTATACCAGAAACTAACCCAACATTTTAAATCAACTGTACTTCAATTTAAAAAGAAAAAGGATGAGAAAGCTAAGTATAAGATTCTGTTTGTATTGACCCTATAGAAACCCTTTATAGACTGTAGGATTAGGGACCTTGTTAAATTAAAAGCTCTGTCCCCTGTATTTAGTACCCACCATAAAGAAGATGTTCAGTGAATTTTTGTTCAGTGAAGGATTAGACTCAGACAGCCTTTCAGCATTTTATGATAGTAGTCATATTTTTTTAGACCCTAACACAGAAGTCAGGCACGGCACTATTCTAAACCCTTTCATACATGATAATTAATTTTTACAACAATTTCACAGGGTTTGATAGATGCAGAGAGAGTATATTGCCTAGGCCACAAAGATAATGAGTAAGGGAGCTGGGGTCTGAGCTCAAGGGTGATTGACCCTCAAACCCTTATCCCTTCTACTGTACCACAGTGCCTTTCTGCCTTTCTGTGAATTTCTTTTGATTCTTCCTAAAACCATCAACAAATGGATAAGTCGCCTCTTATTAACTTTTTATGGCATTATCAGAGACACCTAAACTATTATAAACATATTATAACTTTCTTAACCTACTACTAAATGGCTACAAAACCCTACAGCAAGTATCCTCAGCAGTGAAACATTAAAAGCATTCCTTTTCATATCAGGAGTAAGACAAGGATAGCCACAATCACCACTTCTATTAAACATTGTACTGAGCATCTTAGACGTGATTCGTTAAAAATTTTTTGATAAATTGAATTTCATCAAAATTTAAAACTTCCTCTCTGTAGAAGGACACTGTTAAGAGCATGAAAAGACAGTCTGTAGGCTGGGAGAAAACATTGGCAAATCACATTTCCAACAAAGGACTTGTATCCAGAATATATAAAGATTTCTTAAAACTAAAGAGTAAGAAGATAAATAATCCAGTATAAAATATGGGCCAACAGTGGCCCAGTGTGAGATGTCAAAGGTCAGAGCCTGAGCAAATGAGAAAGGTATCTGTGACTGGGGAGAGGGTAACCACCGGTGACAGGACTCAAGTCCAGCCAGGATGAAGATGGCATCTCGCTGAAGGGGCAGCCTGATGTGGGATGTGGAAACCCAAGTAATATGAAGAGTTCGTCAGTGCATGAACGTAGCTCAGTGTGGGCTATCAGGACCAAGCAGAGTGAGGAGGGCATTTGGCTGGAAGGGAAAGTTAGTGGTGGAGATGGGAGTTGAGTCACTTACAGTGGAACTGAGCAAAAAAGTAAATATGTTAAGGATAATGAAGTCTAGGTTTCTCACTGTTAAAGAAGGGAGTTACAGATACAGAAGGAAAGGAAACTAGAATGAGCCCTGTAGTTGTTGGATCAGAATTGGATGTATTTGGGTGAACTCATAGTTTTCAATATATTTGAGTAGACATAGAAATCAGATGGGAGGTAAATGTGAAAAAAACGAGCAAAAGCCTTGAATGGACACTTTACCAAAAAGAATATATAGATGGTAATGAAAAGATGTTCAACATCATTAGTCATTAGGGAAGTGCAGATTAAAGCCTTGATGAGATGCTGCTACTACTTGTTAGAATGGCTGAAATTAAAAAAATTAAATACCGACAATACCAAGTGCTGACAAGGATGCAGTGCAAATGCAACTGTCATACACGTTTATGGAAGAGCAAGTGCAGACAGTAACCAAGACATTCCTGAAGAAGAACCAAGAATAAAAAGCAGTACGTGCCCTACTAAATTTCAAGGCTTTTATGAAACTTTATTAACCAAGACCATGTGGTGTTGACCTATAGGTAGAAAAATATGCAGTAGAACAGAATGAAATGCCCAGAAACAGATGCATGCACACATGGAGCTGATTTATGATAGCAGTGCTGATCGGTGGGCAGAGGTTAATGGTATTTGGACAATTAACTATCCATGTGCAAAAAGAATCCCTGCCTCCCTACCACTCACGAACATAAATTCCTGATGGGTTAAGGCATTAAATGTGAAACATGAAACTTCGAAATGTTTAGCGAATGCCTAGGAGAATATCTATGATCTTGGAGTAGAGAAGGGTAAATACATGTATGGTAAAAATTTAAAGTAAAGCAAGAGAAAAAAATAACACAAAATTCCAAAAGAGGTAACGTTAAGGGAGGAAGAAAGAGAGGTGATTGAGAAGGGGCCCTCCAGAGGCTTCAGAAATACTGGTCACGTACTATTCCTTATGCCAGACAGCAGGTGTACTAGGTGTTTGCTTTATTTTTAAATTAACTATATTGTTATAGTCCCTCTGTTTAGATATAATTCATTTCAAGACAGAAAACATGTTTTGTATTTCACACTTGTCTGAAAATTGTGATTATCGATGAAGCAGCTATCTTCTGCGCCAAATTCAAAAAGTTTAAGGAATAATTTGACTTTCTTATGTTGCTGAAGTCTAATTTTATCACTGGCAGCTGCTTAAAGGGCTGCATTTTAAAA